CACATGTTCAGTACCTGGGCTCCACCTGTTCACAGTGTAGGAGGTAGAATCCTATATGCTTAAACTAACATGTTTTACCAAAGTCTTAAAAAATAGTTTAAGTAAAAAGTAAAAACAGAAGCAGGCAGGAAGGGCCCAAGCTAACAAGGCACGTGAATGAGGGTAACTACGGTCCAAGGAGTTTGTACATGTGCAAACAGGATGATAAAACCTGTTGAAATTCTACAGGAAAGTGGGAAGATGTGAAAGAGAGAAGGGGGAGTGCAACCGATTAGAGTATTATACACATGAGCAGAAATGCCACAATGAACACCCCTCCTTGTCTAACTACTGTATGCAAAGGAAAAGTGTTTCAATTCAATTATCTAGGGGCTGGGAAGGTGGCTCAGTGGTAGAGTGCTTGCCTTGCATGCATGAGGCCCTGGGTTTGATTCCTCAGCACCACATAAGAAAAAAGCCAGAAGTGGTGCTGTGGCTCAAGTGGTAGAGCACTTGCCTTGAGCTGAAGAGCTGAGGGACAGCACCCAGGCCCAGAGTTCAGGCCCCATGACTGGCAATAAGAAAGAAAGAAAGAAAGAAAAAGAAAGAAATCAATTATCCAAATTTTGTTTTTCTTTAATGAAGACAAGTGTTGATCAGGATGTGGACCAGCTCTGAAACTGAGACACCCCTTAGGAAAAGTGTGTCAGTTTCTCACACTGTTGCCCATAGAATTCCCACAGTGCCCCTGCCAGCCACAAGACCAAGAGAAACGAAGACACGCACCCCATAGAAGCTGATGCTGAAATATTCCTGAGAACAGTATTCCTACTGGCCAAAACTGGGAACAACTTCAATGTCTGTCACTGATGGCTGGATACATAAAATGTGCTACAGCCATAAAATGGAATGTTATTTGGCTTTGGGAAGGAAAGAAACACTGGCCTACATCACACCAGGGGTGAACCTGGAAGCCAGGATGCAAGGTGGGAGAGCCTGGCACAGAAGGCCCGTGTTCCATGATTCCACTGATGCAGAGCATCAGAGCAGAGCAGGAGCTGCCGGGGCCGCCGACAAGCACAAGGAAGGAACAAAGAGGGGGTGACCTTTAATGGGCACAGAGGATGGCAAGAACATTCTAGATGAAATGGTGACTATTCCAAAACTTAGCACTGCAGGTGCCTGAAAATCCTGGTGTACATGTCAGTAAAGCTCCTTTTAGCGTGGTAACCACCGTAACTGGATGAAGACGGGATAGGTGACAAGAAAGAGGCTGGCAGATGCTGCTACTGTTCGGGCCGGTGACAGTCCTGCCGTGAGATCCTCATCCTGGTGATTCCCAGGACGCTGTATCCACCACTCTGCACAAGCACAAACCCTGGAGCAGCACCTCAGCCTGGCTGGGTCTTACAACCTAGAATTCCGGCACCCAAGCCCATTTCCAGTCCATCCTCTGCACAGAGCTCCCTTCTAACACTCAGGCACGACAGTGTGGTCCTGGGCAGGACCGCCATCCACCTCCTGCCCCTCTCCCTCCACGGAGTGCTGCCCTTCCTCTATCCCAGGCCCTCCTCACCCAAGTCACACAGCGTGGCGCTGATGTCCCTAAGAGGCAGTGCTGACAGGCCAGACCCCTGCTGCCAGGGCTCCTGAGAGTACCTCACCTGCAGCCTCACTGTCGCCCATTCCTCGCCACCCAGAGCCAGCTGTGCTTGGACAGCTCTGGACACACAGCAAACACATACTCCCGGGAGATGTCCAATTCTTACTTGGCCTGCAGCTCTGAGGACCCTTCCCCGAGTCCCACGTCCACGAGGTCTCTTTTTCCTTCAGTTAAATGGAATTGTTTACCACATTTCAACTTCAGATGAAAGTCTCCCCCCACCCCAGGGATGGCGAGGGCAGCAGGCCATCCACCCTCCAGGCAGGAGTGGCATGAAGACTTGGGTAATAAAAGCATTGGAGGACCCCTCCATAAAGACTACAAAGTAGGAGCTCAGTAACGCTCCCCTTTCTAGGAGCTAGCCTCTAGCTGGTGGCTCAGTGTGGTGCCTGGTGTGCGCAAGAGCTGAGCAGGGACTCCTGAGACACCTCCTGAGGGCCTGGTCCCAGAGTCTCACTCTGACTCACCCAGCAAGGCTGCCCCAGCCAGCACCTTCCCCCCTGCACCCCACATGGTGCCAGCCAGCACCTGCACCCCTGCACCCCACGCGGCCCCAGCCAGCACCTGCACCCCTGCACCCCACGTGGTGCCAGCCAGCACCTGCACCCCTGCACCCCACGCGGCCCCAGCCAGCACCTTCCCCCCTGCACCCCACGCGGCCCCAGCCAGCACCTTCCCCCCTGCACCCCACGCGGCCCCAGCCAGCACCTGCACCCCTGCACCCCACGTGGTGCCAGCCAGCACCTTCCCCCTCCACCCCACGCGGCCCCAGCCAGTACCTGCACCCCTGCACCCCACGCGGCCCCAGCCAGCACCTGCACCCCTGCACCCCACGCGGCCCCAGCCAGCACCTGCACCCCTGCACCCCACGCGGTGCCAGCACTGCCTCCCTCCAGACAGTCTGGCTTTCCTGCAGCTCTGTGTGACTGTCTCCCCTGCCTGGCTCACTTCGTGAGAGGCGGCCTAGTCCACACAACCTCCTCTGACCCCTAGGCTGGGATGTGCTCCCACCACACACTGGGCTGCCTCCTGATAACAGGAACGTTAATTACTTTAATTAACTTTTTAATTGCTCACCTAAAATCTGTCCTCCCCGCTACTGCCAGGAGCTCCGAAGGGGCAGGGGCCACATCCACCGTTCATCTGCTTGCCCACGGTGGCAGCAGGCCACGGTAATCCGACAGGGTCTGCGGGGTTGGCCAGAAATCATCCCCGCAGCCCAGTGCTCTTCATGAGAGCCGTTTCCATGAGCGTCTCCATGGAGGGCTGCAGGATGACCAAACAGCCCAGAAGCAACGAAGGCCACTGTAAGACTATCTCACATGATGAGACGTGGACCTGGACTGCAGGAATGAGCACTCCTCAGACCTGGGAGGCAAGCCCTACAAAGACCACCAGTCCACCAATCCCACCCCAAAGTCCAGGACCGAAGTCTCCAAAATGCCCACATAACGTCAACTGCCAGAAATCAATGATCTGCTTACACAGATGTTCCAATACAACACTCAGATGGATGCACTAAATGTGTGGTGTGCTCTTGTGTGTGTACCCCGGTATGGTGTATGTACACCTGATGTGGAGTGTGTGTGTGTGTGTGTGTGTGTGTGTGTGTGTGGCAGATATTGCAGGAAGCATCTCTCTAAGCCCAGTAGAAGACTCTACTTGCAGAGCAAAAATTCCATTTTCTTCAGTGGTCCTTTCTACCAGACAATTAGCATCGCAGTCATTTCCCTTGTCCTGTCTTGCTAATACTCAGGCAAACGCATGAAGAACCGCCTGGGTCTTACAACCTAAGTTGGTGGTAAAGTAGTTAAGGCAAACTTATTTACCACATCAATTAAATGGTCTATTTAACATAGAATATCAATTCTCTAATCACATCTCCGTTGACGTCTTCTTTCAATTAACAACTCTGAGGGCTACTGACAGAGGTCCTACTGTTCCAGGATCATTAGGAACATTTTCATTAGCTGTCAAGTGAGGGGTGAGAGGCAGAATGTGGGCGCTCTCGATAGCGGCCTCTCCCTACTTAAGAGACTATTAGGGGGTGAGCAGTGGTGGTTCTCATTAGTTGCTTAGTGATGAGAAGACCTCCTATAAAATCACAAATGGAAATGAAGTGAGGCGGGCTGCTATAAAGCCCAGTGAATGTTTATGCTCTCACCCCCGGAGGATGATTTGGCCTTAAGGAACCCAGGCTCTCCAGATTACCATAGCAGGGAGCTAAAGCAGCCTGGAGACTCATACGGCCAAAGTCGTAACTGCCCAGAAGCCAGCCAACACCAAGACAAGTACCAGAGTTATGTCCCCAACAGATTATGTGTTGGATGCTTAGTCTCCAGCTGGCGGCACTAGTTTGGGAGGTTGTGGAGCTATTAGGAACTGGGACCTAGCTGGAGGAAGCAAGACTGAAGCAGGCCCCTCACTTCTGTCTACTTCCTGTCCACCATGAGGCGAAGAAGCTCCTCCGTCACACTCCTACCTGCCTTGGTGATCTGCCCAAGCACACAGGGCCAAATGACCAAGTACCAAATACTGTAAAACCTCCTTTAGGCTTTCATCACAGTTCCACACATGGGGTAACAACCACGGGGCACCAGTGGCTCACGCCTGTCATCCTAGCTATTAAGGGATCTGAGGATCGCGGTTCAAAGCCAGCCTGAGCAGGAAAGTCTGTGAGACTCTTCTCCAATTAACTACCAGAAAACTGAAAGTGGCTCAAGTGGTAGAGCGCTCACCTTGAGCTGAAGAGCTGAGGGACAGCTCTCAGGCCCAGAGTTCAAGCCCCATGACCAACAACAACAACAAAAAACTTAAACCACTTTTAAACCAGGAATGCCATATTACAGTTTGCTATTCTAATATAAAAAAGGGAAATTTACAATACGCATGAACAGCACAACCCCTTCCAAATCTTTGTGAATCTAGTCATTTTTCATGTAATTAATACTGTCACAAAAGAAAATGTTACTAGACAGGAAGTGATAATATATCATAATTTAGTTTTTAGAGTGTAAGCAAGGCGTTCACCTAAAAGTAACCTAACCTTTCCATTTAACTCTCAACCATTAAAGTCAGTGTTCTGGTGGCTATTAGAAATAAACCAAATTCCAAAATATATTCATTTCACTTCACCCATTATCGAAAAGCAGACATTAAAATTGTGACTATATCACAACAATGAAAGAAGTTGAGCATGAGTATTTAAAGGCATTTTTAAAGCTAGCATCAATGATTAAAATTAATACTCTATCATTACCATCAAATGTAATAGCCATTTTCAATATTGGTATAATTATGCAAATCAACAGACAAAGCCCACTGAAGTTCATGTTTAATATCTGTGATCGGCCCTTACCTATGTGCTCACAAATGAAGACCACAAAGAAAGGAGTGACGAGGTCATTTATCCCCTGCACGTATCCACTGGCAGGGTGACGGATGGCCCATATGAACAAGATTCTTTCAAAAATCTGAAAGAAAATACAACAGGAATGAAGCAAGAAACAAACACAGAGGAAGCTTCAAATGCATTCACTCTTATGCTAAAAATGCATGTTATTTTTCACTCAGTATCCCTAGCATGAAAACACAAACACAAAAACCATCGTTTGATTTCTTTGTAGAAGTCCAAGAATCTCTTCAGTGACTCTGGGCCCTGTGGGGTCCTTCATCAACTCCTGTCTCTGCCATCCACGACCCAAGCTCCCTGTGGCCGACCCAGGGGTCCTCTCCAGGCTCTGCAGGTACATGGTGGGTGGGCCTGTGCCTTGCACCTGGCCTATCGGGGATACTTCCTAGTGGTGGACAGGTAGAGAGGCAAGTGGGTGGTAGAGAGATGGATGGACAGATGGATGGAATATAGATAGAAGAATGGATGCTCTGAATTCCCCTTATGAGGTAAACAGGTTTCTTTCAACCGTCGGCAGTTATCATCTCCCACAAAGACACGTTTAGGCCAGGGGCTGCCCCAGCCTCCTCCAATGCGTATTCCCGCAACCTCTCCTCCTCCTCTCTCACTTCCCCTCACCACACCACGGCCACGGCATCCTAACACAGCAGCCTCAGAGGGGCCCAGAAGGCATGCCAGCCTCAACGCTGAGGATCCAGTTGCTTCTAGTTGGGCAGTGGGCACCGAGATACAGATGAAAGTAGACAGAGTATTCGGGGGCCTGGGAGGGGGAAACAGGACACCACCAGAGCGTGGCAAAAAGCAAGCAGGCAGCGTGGCTGGGGACGGCCTTGAGCGCCTGACAGCATGAGAAGGTCCCTACCCGAGGACGCGTCACGGCCAGCACCCGGGGATGGGGCCATGATCCCCACTAACACCTGGGCTAGGCACGAGGCACCCCTGGCAGGGGACTCAGCTGAGCCACACCTAGACCTCTGGCCACAGAAACTGAAATGCTCATATGTTCACACACACACACCCCTACTCACTGGCCCTCCGCAGCCCAGCACTGCAGCACTGCAGTGGGACTGAGCGGCCTGCCCTCCCCGGAAGGCACACAGAGAAGAGACGTGTGCAAATGGTGAGCGTCTGTCTGCGTGGGGTAGGCAGGGATGTGCACCGTGACGCAGACCCCCTGCACGCTAGAGTCAGCCCCACCCTGAAATCAGGGCAGTGACCCGGTTCCCCCGGCCCGGTGAGAACTGATGCCAGGGCCCCAGGAGAGCAGCGGCCTGGACGGGCAGCAGTGGGTGGCTGCCTAGCCCCCCATGAACACGACAACCAGCAATCACCATCTCCCCTCACCACAACATTGCCCAGGCCTCTGCCCTCCCCACCTCTGCTTCCCCGGCCTCTGGAATGCAGCGTCCGCCTCTCCACGGCTGCACTGCGAGGAGCATCATGGGAAAGCTTCAGCACTCAGATGTTTTGCCAGCTAAGGAAAGCTATTAGACAGGTCAACTTATTGAGTTTTAACTCTACTTGATCTCTTTTGACAAGATGGAATTCTATTTTTAATGATGCGTTTTTAATCCTTGTGCCACATAAATAAAGGCACTCATAGCTCACATGTAAGAGACAAATGACTTCTGGGCAGGCAGGCTGGCAGGCTGACAGCAGAGAGGTCCCATGGAGAGTGACACTGTCTCCCTCTCTGGCCCTAAGGTCGCAGGTGCTCCTACAGCGCCTTGAGCAGTACTGCCTCCTCCCTGCATGGCACCGCACTGGTAACTGCTTTCCTATAATGGCAGCTGTGCCTTTAGAGATTCAGGCTCTGCAGGCGAGGGGCATATGAAGAGGCCAGGTATGCTCTACCTACGTCACCATCACAGTTAAGACGAGTTCCACCAGCCAAGTGCCAGCGGTGCACGCCTGTAATCCCGGTGACTCAGAAGGCTGAGATCTGAGACAGGAAAGTCTGTGAGACTCCAATTAGCCACCAAATTCTAGATGTGGAGCTATGGCTCAAGGGGTAGAGTGCCAAAAAAAGCCCAGGAACAGCACCTAGGCCCTGAGTTCAAGCCCTAGGACCAGCACAAGAAGAGAGGGAGGGAGGGAGGGAGAGAAAGGAAAGGAGGAAGAGGAGGGAGGGAGGAGTGGAGGAGGAAGAAGAAGAGGAGGAACTCTATCTGCAGAGATGGGACCTGGCAACTGTGGGAGTGGAGGATCACTCACTGATTCCACAGCCGCCCTAGGCCTCAGCAAATGAGATGACACCAAAAAATGAGCACCCATCCCTGGCCCCCGAGATGAAGGCTGCCCTCTGGCTGCACCCCAGGACCCTGAGCCAACCTCTGCCCCCGGCAGTTACATCAAGCAGCACACTGGGCTGGAGCTCCACTGGCCCCCTGCTCCCCCCTCTCCAGTGAGCACAGCTCCCCTCCTCTCCCCCGCCCCCACGGGGCAGCTCTGGGGGCTGGTAGATTTCTAGCACAAAGCCAAACCAATCCACTGTCTAATCAGCTCGCATTGGGAAAGACAGCACAAAAAGGCAACAATCACATGGAGGTAGTGGGGACCTGGGTGCAGCCGGGGTGCTGGCCGAGCCGCTGCTGGCACCTGAGGGCTGAGGCAGCCCTGCATCCCAAGTTTTTCCCTACTGGCTCTGGAGTCCTTGGACTTCTATCTTAATGAAACTACTTCATATGACTTACTGTTTCTCTTTTGAAAGTGCAAATGGGATGGTTTAACAAAATCTCCCTTCTGAAATCCTCTGAAACTGGGGAGCCAAGTTGGGTCCCAGGACCCCTCAGAAAGCCACAGGAGCTTGGGGCTCGGCTCTCATAAGAAGACCTGAGAACTGAGTTGAAATGTGTTTTTGGTTTCTCCTCTTGTATCTGTGGCGCTGGGTTGGAGCACTGGGCTTCGTGCAAGTTAGGCAAACACTCCACAGTCAGCACACTCCCAGCCCATTCTTCCCCTCTCTCGCCCATCACAGAGCACGAAGGCCTTGGCTGAGCACACTGAGTAGTGGCCCAAGGACCACCTGCAGCCCCTCACCATGTGACTTTGCGTGGAAACACTGGGAGCCTGCCATGGAGAGAGGGACTCTCCCCAGCAGGAGAGACATGTGCTAAATAAATAACTGCACTTATTTTTCAAGGACTATATTGAGCAAGGACTGCTGAGCCTATGACTGCTTGCCAAACAATCCTTTTCAAAGGGTAACGAAGTGACACCTGAAAGGGTACAAATGAAGCCCAGCACTTCCTGGAGCACACATGGACGCCCAGGACCCTCGCTGTGCCCTGAGACCTGTGGTGCTTGGGGTACCACGGCCCTTCTTGGCCGGCTATGCTTCTGCCATTGCCCAAGTGTACTGCTGCACAGTCCAGCCTCCGCTCCTGGATCCTTCATCTGAGACCAGGCAGTAAGGACCCTTTAAAGGACCCCTCTCCATAATGGTCAGCCAGAGGGGAAAGGCTACGTGCTTGGAAAGGCTGGAGGGAGAAGGGGCAGGTTCAGTCCATGCCTCATACCCCTGACAGGGCCCCCGACTCCTCCAAACTACATGGGGCTATGTGCTGGTGGTCGGGGGCTCCTGAGCAGCCCAGCAAGAAACAGGTGGCTCGGTGGCTGTGAAGCAAAAGGCACCAGCAACATAACACTGCCTGAGTCCAGGCACTTCCGCAGTCCTCCTCCTCCACTGCCTCCTCTTCTGTGGACAAGCTGGAACACAGTCAAGAGGGTACTTCCAGTTACACCTCTGTATGATTCCCCAGCGTGTGTACGCTGGTCTCAGCCGGGGGCTGTGGGGGGCACAAGTGTTGCCCACATCCCTGCCAGGTGTTCCTGGCGATCTTGGGGCCGCAGCCCCCACACCGTCATACCCAGGCTCTCTCCGGGCAGCCTGCACAGGAAAGGTAAAGATGCCGAGACATAATGGAAGCAGAGCAGGGTAATAAAGAACAGACCTGCCAGAGCGCATGACCTCAGAACGATGCGAACATGCCTCCGGGGAAGGGCCTAGAAGACGGCAGGGCGGGACGCCCCAGCCTGGGCACAGCATGGAAACTCATGCTGAGCTGAAGGGGCTCCGTGGATGCCACTAGCTGGTGAAAGTCTGTTCCTACTCTTCATGCTCATGTCTCTGTAAGAGCTAGAATTCATCAAAACCCAAAGCTCTTCTACAAAGTAGTGCATACTGAATACTCAACAACAGTAAGAAAACTGGTAGCTACTGCTTGTTAGCACCAGGGCTGAAGAAATTAGAAAGCTAGAGGCTGTCCATTTGCCTACCAAGCTGCAGACACCTGCGCTCCACCACACACATCCTGACTCAAAACTCAAAACATCCTTCCTGAACGTCACAGCAGCGCTGGGAGGCTGGAGAGGCGCCTGCTCAGAGGACTTTCTGTCTTCACTTGTTCTTCTCATCAAACACCCTCCACACACCTCTGCAGCAGAGCATGGCCCCGCACAGCACAGCGTGCAGAGGCACGAGGGGGCGGAGGCGACCTGCATGCTAAAACGGGAAACATCCTGAGCTGACAATGTCGCTGTGCTCGTGATTACTGACGGAGAATCTGACTGCAGAAGTCTGCAAACATCGTAATTCTACCACACAGGAGCAGCACCACTGAGAGAAGCAACAAAATATGGTGACATTCGGGAGACCCTGGGGCTGATAGCCCTTGAAGGCCCACAGCAGAGCAGGTTCAGAGAGAAGAGCTATTTACAAAATGGGACCTGCCGCATGACTCACAGGGCACACTCCCCTGCACGAAGGATGACACCAGGGAGTGAAACCCAAACCGACCCGGTCAGAATGTGGATTTCCAGGCAAGCACACACCACTGAAGTGCACACCAAGGGGGCCAAGCCAGCCGTTGACTGTGGCTACACCACCACTGACACGGAGAACTGCCTCAAACAGATTATTCCACATTTGCCTTATTCAACTATGCTCGTTTTGTGCAGTTAACTTATGTGTTCCACAGAAGAAACAGAAGTTTTTAAGTTCAAAAGAAGGACTGAAAAGAAATGACACTTCCAAACCAAACATCCCAGTGTCATCCTGAA